GACAGGAAAATTATTAACCGACTACCGACCTGGACGGACATTATCTATATGGTTTTTAAACCTTTCTAGGAAGTAACCAAATGATACCACGTCACAAGTCTTTTTACAAAAATACCACAAAACGAGGGTATTGAAATCGGTTTGCAGAGCGTATGAAAATTTCTGCAACCCGCCTAGTCCTACACATTATATGCGAGAAATGCTTAGATTAATCCTTATCCTTATCCTTGTTCTCCTTGATGTAAAGACTACGGAAACCTTCCAGCACACATTTTGCGGCTTGTCACCCACCGACTTGTCAAAAGAGTTTAAGGAAAGTTCAAAAGAAAGCTTGATGGTTGATGATGAACAGAGGCTACTACACAATTTGAAAGACAAATTGCAATCAGAAATAAATGAAACTCACAGAAACCGAAGTCCGCGCTCCTGAAACAAAACCGAGCAAGGAAGGAAAAGAAATGTTGCCTTTCGTGACACAATACCAGCCCCTAGTGTCTACTGTAAAAGAAGCTTTAATGGAAAAGTGGAATCTCACACAAAACCAACCGCTACTTTGCTAATTTTTTAAAGAACCACCCCTTATTTCCTACAAGAAAGGAAAACCCCCAAACCAGTGGCAAAGAACATGCTTGTTAGAGCCAAACTATTAAAGGTTAACATACGGTTTCACGCCGGTATAGATGTGCAACCTGTCACCCCTTGCAGTTTTTCACCAAAAATAATTTACATATCCAAAAGGTTAGAGTGAGCGTGCCCTCCGTGTCCAATTAACCTCTCTTCATTACTTTTTATGGTGCCCTGTAATCACCAGGGAAACCAAGTTCGCATTTGCAATAAAAGCTTTGGTGAAATACACTATCATGTTACATAATGAAGTTTAAGTTCAATCAAATGATGCATTTTTACAAGTTTTACATGTTTTATAGGGATCAAAGTCTTGAAACTGAGTGAAACGCACAACAAATATTAATAATTAACATGCATTTTTACTTATTAACTGAGATTAACCGACAACCGACAAAGATTTAAAATTTTAACCGACTACCGACAAAGTAACTAAATTTTAACCGACAACCGACAAGTGGACCCCCCCATTCAGACCCTCAAATTTGTTCCAGTTGTCACCACCAACTGTGTCTTAATCGCGTTAATTTCCTTTAAAAAACTCTACCTCCTGTTTCGCGTTAATTTTCTTTATTCGAAAGTCGTTTTCCATTAAATTCGCGTTAATTCAAGTCGCGTTTGTTTCCAATACCTTAATTTCATGGAGCGTTAATTTCCTATAATAAGGTAAGACGCCTAAATTTCTATATTTGAATTAATGATGAAATCTTCGGATAAATCCATATGTTTTGCAATTTTAGTTCCTACCTTAATTCAAATGTATGTAACAGTCCTTCTGCACACAGTTGAAGAGCTATGGAAACTGGAGGGTTTCCGAGTGCAGCTTGATGTAAACTGAACAGATAGCAGAAGCTTGTAGACGCGACATGTTACCATCAGACATAGACAGTATTTAACAACTTTTTTTTCTTTGTTTGCACCTTTTCACGTAATACCCTAGAGAGATGAATTTCTTTCACATTTCACTTTAATTCTTTACTCATGTGTGTATCGTATTTGATGGAGGCTTGCGACCTTGTTACCACGGTTCCTTAGACCACATGCGGTGCAGACTCTGTGGGCTTTCGTTAGACTTTACCGGAATTTACAGAATGTATGAAAATAAACAAAATACGTCCTAAATCCCATTTTTTGACCAAAATAGAAATAAAAATGACTCACCTTATGTTTTTGTTTTGTTATTTAGTGTCTTTTTGTTTCTAGAGTCATTTGGAAGCGTTTTATCAACGTTTAAGACTTTGAGTACAGTTTTACTAACACTAAGTAATAGGGGAAGGCTGGCGAGTCTGAAGTTGACCGCCCCAGCTCGAAGCTCCATAAATCCCGTAAAAATGACCTTAACTCCTCGCCAAAATTGCCGTTAAAGGATCAGCCGATAATTTGTCTTTCCCTTCTATGTTTCCGAAGTCTCAGGTTTCATCATAACTGATAGCGAAGCGCTTGATTTTAAACTTTGTCCATCAGAGGTTTTCATAATTTCTTTCTCGCGATACGTACGACCGGACAACTGGACCCGTACGTAGTCAACGGTCGCTTAAAGCTTACGTCACAGCGACAATTTGCCTCCGTCCGGGAGCGGGCACGGTGTAAAAAGGGTCAGACTGCTTTTTGTTAAACAAATTAACCTGTGATCCGGCGTCCTTGAGTTCTTAACCCCCGGACGTACACGCAAAGTAATACCCCCCCCCCCCTTCCCTGGAGGTCTGTGACGTCACCAATCATGGTCGCCATCTTGGCCACCATCTTCCATTTTTTCAAGAATTAGAAATCAAGTAAAAACAAGCATTACTTTTATTCCTGAAAGAAGTTGAATAAACATGCACTTTCACTAAAAAATGGCTTGACCACCTGCTGTTTTTCACGTTATATCTCAGAATCATAGTAACTAACCGTCACTAAACTTGTCTCAAAATGCGCACGAGGGATAAACGAACAGCTACAGAAAACTTCAGGTGCTGATTTTTTATCGTTTAGGAAAAATTCAGAAAAACCTCAGGGGGGTGCC